TAAGCTTTGCAGCGCTTCTTGGTGCCATCTCCAGCAGTAGAGCTCTGGCTGGAAGCTCGGACTGGCCGTGGTGTTTCTGACAGATAACCTGCACTGGTCTGCAGGATGAACAGTTTTTGCTACACTTACCTTTGATGCTTGATACTGCTGAGCGCCAAAGATTTGGATCCCTTTTAAAGGAAATTAAGTGTTGTATCAGCCTGATTTTTATTTGATCCTGGCTTTTGTAGTAGATCATCATTGTGTAATTACTGCTGCACATTCAGACTTCTGATTTGCACATGCACCCAAAGCTCCTTTGTCCTATCTACTTAAGAGCTTGAAGTGAGGTGTGTGATAGTGCAGGAAAAATGGAGGTGTGTGACACCATAACAGTATCCAAAGACATGGACTGGGGCTACCAACTGTGCCTTATGCTGTATTTCCTGCAAAACAATCCCTTAAGGTCCTTTTTCTAGAGTACTTAACTGCATAAGAAGCAATGGCAAAATGTTGGAAAACAGTTATCTTAATGCAGAGTTGGAACCCAGACATCACTAGCTGCAGCTCATAGGTAGCTATGATGGACGTGCTTTTTCTGTCCTTTTCATTCTTTTGAATGTCCTGATATTACCATGAATGTTACTAACAGTGACATGATCCAGAACGGTGGCTTTCAGCCTCCTGAATAATGCAAGGCAAACTATTGCCAATACACAACACGTATGCCTGACTACTACAGCTTAGTGAAGATCTGGAAATCTTAGGTGTTACAAAGCTGAGTAATTTTTAGCTGTAACCTTTTTTTGTTCGAATGACAGGAAACAGGTAACTCAGTGCGAAATTCCAGATGCTTTACTTAATTTTTTAGCATCATCATTTCTATAAACATACTGACACATAGTTGGCTCAGAACTGAGAACTGCACTGCATTATATTTAACTATCCAGTTGTTGCCTTCTAGAAGAATTGGGACCAAACAAGTAGAAAAGGGCAAATACACGTATGTATTTCATATACTGAAGAGCATTGCTTTATAAAATATACATGATTTAAGCTAAAATGAAAAGTTGATTCAAAAGATCCCTAAAGTTGAGTGGGATAATTTTCATCTTCATACCCTGAGAAAAGAAGGCCAAGAAAAGGGAAATTAGTAATCAGTCACAGCAATCTGTAGTTACTGTAAAACATATTAAATATTTGGTGTTATAAATTTGATTGTAATGAGTAAAAAATACTTGATTCTTATGATTTCATGCAAATACTCAAGCTGCTGTCATGTAATATTACAATCAATAATTGCAATATGCTGTGACTGTTGAATGAAGCCTCTCTTGAGAAGCCAAAGTAGAGGAATACGCTTCGTTTTTTAACAGCTTCATTTTCCTCATTTATTTTACAGCATTTGTAGAGGGAGAAGCAGTAAGAATGTGAGAGGAATTACAAGTATCTGCAAGAAGGCAAGACTGGAAAGGAGTGGGAGAACATGGAAAACTTGTAATCCTTTTTTTAAATTTAAACTTAACACATTAAAAAGCTTAGCCTAACAACCTCTTTCCAGGTTGTCACCTGTATGGAAAAAGCCTACAGGCTCCTGTATGTGCAAGGAAGGGACTTGAACAGGTAGAACAGCTCTACTGAGTGACCCATGAGAAGGACAGTAGTATCCCAGGACTGTCCCATCAGAGATTGTACTTCGTATAAAACCGGTTTCTGTGGTCTTAAAGGTAGCTGTTTTTTGAACCACAGGGCTGAGAGGCCCCAGCTAAGTAGAGGCTTATGTAAAAGTGTTAATTTAAATAACTAGAAAAGAGAGAAACTGTTAATGTCAGTTTGAGCGTTAAGGCACAGGGGTTTTGAAAATACTTGTATGTGGCCTAACTCACGTGAAATGCAGTGGGAGGTTGGATTTAATATTGTTTCATTGAAGGCACATTTGGAGTTTCAATTTTGTTTCATTAACAGACTGTTGAGAATTTTTGGTCCATCCATAGTCTCTTCTTTTGGGAGTCACCGTGTATACAGGGAGCAAATGGCTTTGTTCACTCTGACCGACATGCACAGGAAAAAATGTGCCAGCAGCAGACTCCAGGGCTGCATAGAGCAAGGGGAAGTGGAAAGGTGGTGGTGCCTTCAGGAGTGGTCTTCAGCAGCAAGTGGAGTGCCAAATTCCCAAATCCCTGTGTCAAATCCCCAAATCCCTGCTCAGCATCTGGCTCTCTCCTGCTGCTTTTGGGCTAATGGGAGGATGTGCTTTTCTCATGCTCTCACTTGAACAGCTTTCAATGACTTTATTCACTTAAATGTAAAGAGATGACAGTTTAATTGCCTTTGGCAATGCATTATTTCTTACTCTTTAACCCATTTGATAAGAGTTTAAAAAAAAGCCTGAAGACCTCTTCCTCCCTGGGCAGCTTCTCTTGTACAAGTGGCCTGTATGCTACAGGAGGGGTACTCTGTTTTAAGAAGAGAGTTTCATCTTGCAGGGAGAAACAAAAGAAAAGAATATCAGTATCATATACACAGCATTTATAATGGGTTTTAATATAAGTCTTAACTATTTGTTTCTAAGTGAACAAATAAGCATATGTTTACGTGCTTCGTTAATTCTGGGTATCCTTAAGTTCTTGTTAAAGTGATCTGTCTCTCCAAATGCACTTGAAGACTTTGATCAGTTAGCTCAACTATTAACAGTATCTCTCTGCTATATAATTTTAAATATTAAAGAATACAAGCATGCAGAACATCTAGAGGAGAACTCAAATGTGTGCTTTCATTACTGAAATAAAGCATACAGAAAGACTTATACTTTATAGCTCACTGTGTATGCATTGGGAGAAGCTACTTTTGTGGCACAAATGCCCTTCATTGTTACTTACCAATACCAGTATTCAGTGACACAAAGAACAACTGTTATAAAATTCATTAGCATGCAGATGCTCTGGTGTTTTGTTAATGCATTTAATTAAATACAATAGCTTTTTTGTTTGTTTTTTTTTTATTTTTCTGTCCTTGAATGGATTTGTATTATGGTATAGAATCTAGGCTTAGAGTTGCTATTTAAAATGTTTTGCACTTCTACAACGTGTCACATATCCATGTTAGTTACTTTCTCTTTCATTCAATTAAGAAAATAATTTGGGGGCTTTAATGGTTTCTAGTAAGTTTGAAGGTATCTTTTCAGGAAAACCAAAAATCCCAAAGTTGCCAGCAAATATGTTCCCTTTCCACACCAGTGAAGCCTTCAGTGACAATTAGTGTTGGTAAAATAATTGCATTCTGAAGAAATACTTTCAGGTGTTTTAAACCAAAGACAATATTCTGGCAGTTACCCAACATAGTTTTCACAGAAGAAAAAAAAAGTTGCACAGCAAAACTGCACATTGTGTTTCATGCTGTTCCTGTCTTGTGTTGTTATCCATAAAATTATTTCAGAATTGTTCTCAGCTGGAGAAAAGGTTTCTTTAGTGCCCTGTGGGTGGGCAAAATCATATGGAATGACTGTGTGAAGTCTAAAATTGCTGTGGTGAATCAGCAAAGTACTTGAGCCCAGAGTACTTTGAGAACATAACAGTATTTGCCAGATCCTACCCCTCTCCTGGCAACAAGTACCAAAGCAAATGGAGCTGTAATGAGGTAATTAGAAGCCCCTACAGTATGAGTAACTGTAACTTACTTCTGAAATTTTGCACCCCATTAACTCCAAAAAACATTTCTGACACAGGGTGTGTGGGAAGTGTCTGCTCTGAAGGCTACTTCTCAAGCAATGACCTACTAATATTCTTTTGGTGTTCCTTGGAAATAAGGCATATTCCTCAGTGGATGCTGTTTCTTTCAGAACAATAATAATAAAGGTTTAGACTAAAGAAACCTCCATAAATCTTTTTTGACACTGATAGAAGGAGCTACTATAGGTTTAGGTTAAAGTGTGCTGCAGTTGATTCTTTTCAGATTCTTTACTGCATGTATTAGAGCATAACTGTGGAGAAGGCAGCAGACATTTCAATTCCACTGTAGAAGTCTGGCTTGGCACCTTTCTTGGCTAAAAGCTCAGCAGTTTCTGATAACTGGGTCACTTTTCACAAGCACTAAATGCAAATGGGGCAGTTTTGCTTTAGGCCTTCAGCATCAGTGCCAGGATGTCATATATTGAGGCCAGGATCATACGTGGAGAAAAACTGTTATGGGAGGCCAAGCAGAAATAGCAGTTCAGTGTTCTCTGCCTTTTTTAAGTGACAAAAGTTTAAATAATTTGAAAAGCTCCCCTCGTTAAACTTGTTTTATCAGCATTAAAGTTACAGTGAGGGATTCCAAATGGGGATAAAACCTTTAGGTACAAAAGCTCTGACATGAGGGAAAGGGAACATGTGCTTGAGAAGGTGCAGTCCTGCAATGTTGCTTTAATTATTTATTTCCCCCACAGCCTGTTTTGGAGAAAACCAGCAAATTTTAGAGTTGTGCTATTCAAGGGAAAGGACAGGAATTTTGATTGTTCACTGATAGCCTCCTCATCAGTAAGCTTTAAAATTAGTTTTACTTGTGCTTCAAACAACCTGTTGATCTACTTAGAAACAGGTTTAACTAAAAAAAACCCAACACCTAAAACTACTGCAAGCTTTGTGTGAGAACATCACCCTGGTTTCAGTTCCAAGACAGCTTAATGTTCTTAAAGGCTGGTAGAGAACATAGTTTCATTACAACTGCACATATTACGGGTTTTGTATGAAATGAGCATCTCAAGGCAAGGGAAAGAAAGCAGCATTGTTCCAGGGCTGTTTTTCACAGGCCTGTATTCATATCTCATCCTTGTTGTTTGCAGGAGAGGCAGATGTGAACCAGAACAATGGGACCTCCACGAAGAGCCCAGCGGTGACAGACCCCAAAGGCACAGCAGATCCGAAGAATGCCTGGCCCGAGGCCAACCCAGCTGACACGACTGGTCGCCCCCACTTGATCCGCCTCTTTTCCCGAGATGCCCCAGGAAGAGAAGACAACACCTTCAAAGATCGGCCCTCAGAGTCAGACGAGCTACAGACCATCCAAGAGGACAGTGCAGCAGCTTCAGAGAATTCGGATTTGATGGCTTCACAAAAACGCTCCTCTTTCCGGCACGGATCAAAAATGGCCTCTGCGAGCACTACAGACCATGCTAGACATGGATCTCCAAGGCACAGAGACTCGGGTCTACTTGACTCGCTGGGCAGATTCTTTGGAGGTGAAAGACACGTTCCCCGGCGGGGCTCGGGCAAGGTGAGCTCTGAGGAATAGAGAACTGCACAGCTACAGCAGGAGAAATAAAAGTACGATTAAACAGGAAGGGTGGGACTGAAAGGAAGGTGTAACTGCTAATAATGCAAGAGTTGACTTAGCCAGCAAGACGGTACTTGCTGATGTGTAATTTAATGCTTGGCTTTAAACTGAAAACAACGACAAAAAAAGCATAGATCTGGGAAACAAGAAGAGCTATTCTGGGTGGTAACAAGGAGTATTAGAAATCCAGGTGGCTCTAGAAACATTACTGAGGGGAATTTTTATGAACATTCAATGTGGTATGCATTTGTATGCTGTGGCATTTAGAGAAACTTCAGTCTGCTTTTGTGTGTTGTTCTTAAATACGTGCAAAACTGAGCTGGATAAGAGCACTAAATGCAAGACAATCTCTGGATAGTTTAGCACTAACTGAGGGACAGACTTGGAAAGAGATGTTAGAAAAAAAACTGTGGCCAGATTCTCAGCTTGCTTGCACAAGAGTGTATTTTAAGGTCGGTTGATAGCATTGCTGAGGAGATGGCTTGACAAATATTATCCTGAATCCCAGGTGTACAAAATAGTCCAACTGCTTTATTCTGGCAAGAAGAGAAGATTTATATTCTAAGCATTTCATATTAGAAATTGTGTAACAGGCCATTTCTTCATTATTAATTAAAAAACAAGGTATTGATCAAAGGATATTACTTGAACTCCTTCCTTTTCCAGAATTAACCCACCTCCTCTTGAAAATTTATGCAGATGCTGGTAGTTCATTATTGTTCAAGTGGCAAATTTTAAGATCTTTTCACTGTACCCTTTGCCATCTAAATGATAACTGGAGTCTTGTGTTTGTGTGTTCACGCACTACATAAGCATTTGAATGGAACTACTTGTAGGGCTGTAAAACCTTTGTTTTAGCTGAATATATTGTTTGATAGAGTTGCTCAAGTTGTGTGTTGCAAAAAAGATTTCTCACAGTTGCCAGTTGGGTCCAAATTTTTCAATAACCTTTGACAACCTTTGCTGTCTCTTCAATGGTTCTAACCTGTGATGCTTGCTGGGATGGGGGAGCACACGCAGCTTTCCCAAACTGGCTCTCTACTCGTGTTGCAGTGGGACAAGATAAATACTACTCTGTGGTTTAAAACTGATTTGTGATCACACGACAGCTGCAGGCTGTCAGTGTACTTCACAGCTCTGCACTTGGAAGCACAATGTATAACAGCTCTTGTAATGTGTAGACCACTGGATGAAAAATACTCTAGAAACTTAAAACCAGAAGCTTCTCACACTTGGTTGCCAGTACTAAGCAAGCTGTGTAGTTTGGTCTTTTTTTCCTCACATTGACAAAATGAGGCCTTTAATGCTTACAGCAAAGATTTAGCAATTATGTAGTTGTTTCTGTAAGTATTCAATGTTCATACATGCAACAAGCAGTTGCTGATAGAGTGAAGCAAATCACTTTTCTTGCTGTTACTGCACATGTTGCTGCTATTTTCTGGAACCTAGTTGGCTAGCTCAACTCTTGCTGTTCTATGCATATACTGTGTTACTCAATGAAAAATAGTATGTGACATGCTCTTTGTACACCAAGGAAACAATACCAAAAACTTAGATTCTGCTTACAGAATATACAGAGGTATGTACATCCTTGCTTAGCAATAAAATAAACTAACCAACTCATTTTTTGGTAATGATGACTAGAAAATGGCTGCAAGTTGTACAGGTTCTGTATGTTATCCTTTGGCATGAACATGATCACTGATTCTCTACAGATCCCTACATAATTATGTATGAGAGGACAGGATATCTTCTGTGTTACCTCTGTTGCTGTTCAGTAAACTGCTATTTTGAACCACTTAAATGTCTGCAAAACAGTGCAAAATCATGGTCAATTCTAATATTTTACCTAACAGAAGTAGTTTGAGGGTTTTAATAGCAATTACATATAATGTTACAGAGTTCTGACTTGAAGATCTCAGCTGGAAGCACAGAGTTTTATTGCCCTTGGCAGAAGTCGGTCACATTAGGACTTTCAGTGCTAAAGCATCTCTAGCACTAGTTCACACAGGGATGATATGATGCATGAAAACATGTCCTAGGAAGCTCTGTTGCAGGAGGGTTTCAGTGCAGAAAATATTGAGCAAGTGGCACAGACAGTTATTTCAATTATTATTGATTTAGCCTTTGAATCAATGCCTTTTGGTTTCTTGTATCAAGGAAGTCATGTGGTGTCCTTTATTTATATATGTGTGTGTACAGGGGAAATCTAGATGGCTGATTGATAGTCTTATTTGTGCTTAAAAATTTGTGCTGAATTTTGTAGTGTGAGAGTACTGATAGATGATGGTGTTAATGAATGAGCTGAAATAAAGTCCCTTGATGGTTTTCCAGACTCCACCTAAGTGAACAGGTCTTTGGTAAATAAGATACCATGAAAAGCACCTTAAAGGATGAATTTCAAAGGCTTTAAATTGAAGAGTTCCAGGAGCCGCACTGCATATTTGTTTGCACTTGTTTTGGATTAATTTTTGAAGCATTTCAAAGCAATTTTAAGCTGCCTTTCTTGCAATCTTCCTTTTGCAGCCAGCCTGTGCCCCAGTGGGAGCGTGCATCTCAACTACCCACACCAGCAAGCACAGGAATGCAAAGACAACACTTGCTCTTTGTACAGATTTAGGGCTGACATTCAAGCAAAACACATTAGAAATTCTTTGTGGAGGCATTTTCATCTTGTGTCCATCCAACTGAAAAGTACATTAATGAATAATATTCACTATTGTGTACAGAAAGGTGGGGTAGGAACAAAGCAGGGACTGTTTTGTGGCCTCCTTTTCTCCTGTGGAGCAGGTTCTCCCTTACTCTGGAATTCTGAAGCTAATTTAAGAGTCTGTGGGAGTTCCATGGGAGTAAATAAAAATAGAAATACTGGAATGTACAGAAATGCTCCTTCTCCTTTAACGGGCAACAAGTGCATTTGCCATTGTTCCCCCAACCCTGCCCCATCAAGATTTCAGATAACTGAAACTCAATCAAAAACAGCTTGTGTTTTGTATTAAGAGGGTTTTTTTAAGGTAGCATATTCCAAACAAAACTATTCTTGTGCACAGCCTAAATTTACTTGTATTAAAGAAGAATTTATAAGATTGACAGAAAGAAACTGCAGTGCAGACATTTTAAAAAGCATGCAAGGCAGTAGTGCAACTATAAATTATTTCCTTCTAATCTTTATAGAGTATTTACCTAAACATTTGTAAAGCTTATAAGGAAGTTTGGTAAAATGGTCAAATTCTTCTTGTGCCTCCTAGATATTTTAGCCTGGATTCAACTTCAGTATGTACCAAGTGCTTTTTTGTTGATGCTTTGTAATTCTTTTTTCTGTGATTTTTTTTTTTCCTGCTAAAGTTTGGATTGTGAAACAAGAACTGCTCTGTCCTGTTTTAACATTGCACATTAACGTACTAAACTTTAAACTGTATTTGTGACACACGTGCAACAAACCAAAATATTGTGAGCGATGGTAAATACAGGATGAGTCCAGACTTATTGAAAGATTAAATCCATTTTCCTTTTACATTATGCTTCACTTTTGTATGCAACCTTGTAACCTTCTCCTGTTGCCTGGATAAAGCCTTGCTCCTGTGTTTCCTTACCAATATGTGTGTGTTTGGGTGCAAGGCTGACACGGGGCTTCTCCTTCCTAAAGACAGATAAAAGGTATGAGGAGCACTGGACTAAGTTCTTCTCAAGTTGAGAATGAGGGTTTAGCATCAGCATTTCTTCAACAGCAGTTCCAAACTCACCCAGAGTTCAGCAGTTGCTGTAATGGGGATGTATAGGAAGGGTTGCGATAAACATGCAGAGGGAAAAAGTTTAGAAACCACAGTCTTAAATAATGGTGTGGATGAATATATTGATCAGGACATCCAGGCACCTTTTTTCTTTTAGCACTTGTGACTTTGTTCACATTTCCTGTGCGAGCTTTATTGTGTACTACAGCACCATGAAGACTTTTAAATCAATGCTAGTCTGACTAGTATATTATGTGATTTCAGTAAACACTTACTGTGATTTTTATTTCCAAGTCTTACTTTTCAGGGAGTGGGGTTGCTCATGAGATACTGTTTTGTAAAACCTGCTGTGCAAGCAATATGCTTGTGAAATATTTTTTTTTATATAGTTTATGGTGGTTGTAACAGTGATTTTGTTTTAATCTTTTGCTTTATATGTGCTTTATGTATTCATTAAAATGTTTACATCACAAAAAAACAGTGTACTAATGATTTAATTTGTTTTAAAAACTTTAATCCATTAACAGAAGTTGCAACAAGCTACTTTAGTTGTGTGTGATGGGGTTTCAGATCACTGAAAGAGGCTGTATGTCCTACAGATTTTCTGAAAGCAGTGTGTTGGACAGAAATGGATAAAGCTTGTCTTCTGTAAGGAAAGGGCTAGGTTTTAAATAACTGAAGCTGCTAAATCCTGTGTTTGTGCTTTATGATAATGGGAACTCAATCCGGCTTCTCTTTTTTGTAACAAGTAGTAATGAGTAACCTAAAAATTAATTGGTGTATCAGAACAGCCAGTTTGATTAAAGCTCATTTTGCTTGTTTGGGAAACCTCAGAGCTCTTTACCTGTTCTAAAAAAATTGCAACCTGTACAAAACAAGCAAGTATCAACAGGTGAGTCCTGGACAGTACAGGATAAGTGAGAGGCTTAGGAGCCAACATTACATAGAAACCGACATGTTCATTTAACACACCTATAACCATCAACATGCTTATTAACACATTATTTAATGCACCAGAACTAATTATCTCTTGCATTTTCAAATAAATTATTGCCTGAAGCAATCATTACAAACCATAGGAGGAATTTGGAAGTTGGACTAGGTTAAGTGCCACCTAGAAGAGCAAGCATAAACTTCTGGTAAAGCACTAATGATGCTCTGTGCCCAGCCTGACTACAGATGGATAGCAGGGTTTATTCAGGACTGGGA